AAGAAAACATCCAAAATCATCATAGCATGTTTAACGATCTTGAGTCTCCGAACGTTGGTCTTGAACAGTTAACGAAGATGAAAAACTTGGAACTGACCGGCCGGATACAATTGTCCTCACCATTTGTCGCAACTCAGGGACTTCATCCTTCATAAGAAAGAGCTCTCCATCCTCCTCCCCTTTCGGTTGTCACTTCTCCTCCATCATCGCTCGCACCTCCTCCCTCCGTCATCGCTCACACCTCCTCCTTCCTCAGTCGCTTGTCACACCTCCTCCCTCAACCTAGTAGTTCCTTATTTCAACTGCGCAAATGAAAAGGGAAACAAGAAACACAAGTAAACTGGTATACGGTCTCCAAGTAGAAGAATCATTTTCCAATGCAACATATTCAAGATTTTCATTATAAATCATAACAATAAATTTGATGGTCCGATCTTCCAATTATCAAAATTCATCACCAAAAGCCGCTTGCAAGTACATAACACATGCCTCTAGATCCAAATTTAAGTGCAAGAAAGTCGAGTTACATATAGGCACTATGACTGCTACTACCCTATCCTAGCCATGACAAAAAAAACATCCTGCCTCTAGATCTTCCATTGATATGGATGCTGCTCAATTCTCTCCAACAAATAGGCCCACATGAGGTATAGTAATTTCAGAAAAATCACTGCTTCAAATCATGCCTGCCATTTCTAGACAAATTATTTGTGTACAAAGAGCATAGAACTATTACACGATTTGAAAAGGATTGGTAGGCATGTAGTTCTTCTGCTAGATATGATATTACGTGTATGATGGAGGTTTACAAGCCGGACATGCTGTAAATGGCAACTTAGTGACGACTATGCAAGTAAACATGGATTTAGTTGATGGTTGGCACACTCACTGGCAGTAGCTTCTCTGAATGAAAATATTTCCCAAGATATGAACCAATTCACCTATTATAACACACTACCTTCTCCATATAGCATATGCATAATACCTCTTCCCATGTGTACATTGTGATCTCATCAATAACCAAGGAAAAAGGTGGTAAATATGTGCCTAGTAAGAATAATAGAATATCTTCCTGACTTCATGACACTCACATAGAATCTATATATATATATATATACATATATATATATATGGGAGGGTTCATGTGAGAACCGCAAATAATTTAAGAACCAAGGAATTGATTTTATAGTGTGTATTCATTCATGAATATACACTCTGTACATTTCATTAAACCTGGGTCTGATGCCAAGAAGGTTGCACCCGAAGTAGTGGCAGAGTACACATTCCATGCCCTGCAACGAACCATGCCACCAGCTGTCCCAGCTGTTATGTTCTTGTCAGGTGGTCAGAGTGAGGAGGAGGCTACTGTCAACCTCAATGCCATGAACCAATACAAGGGAAAGAAGCCATGGAGATTTAAAAACTTTATGAGATTTAAAAAGAAATTGATCAAGCAGTTATGTTAAAATAACTTCTTAAATAAAAAAAACGAGAGAGACCGGAAAGAAACAGAGAGGAGATATAAAAGAGATGCTCTTAAACATGGTTACAGGGATACGTTAGAACCGAGGTATATGTAATATGTATATTGGGATTTACAAGATATCCATGAAAGTTTCGAAAACTTATACCCCAATTAAACTGAAGTCGAGGAAATAAAAGGAAAAATCCATCCATCCATCACAAATGGAAACGGCAGGTGTTTGTGATGTCATAATATTTTTTTTAAATATATAATATTTATATATGGCAAATACTCATTTTGTACCTTTTCACCTCTTAGGAAGTTGGGTTGTATCATACCTCTAGGACAGTGACGCTCAGTGTAGATGATGAGATTTATAGCAATAAGCATAGATGCAATGCCGAAACAACAAACAGTTGTCTATCCCAGAACAAACACAAACTTCCAAGTGAATGTTTCGTGCATAACTAGGAGAAATGTTATCTAATTGAAAGTGACGTGATACGACAACATTGTAATGGGTCACTTGAAATAATCATATATATATATATATATATAAAGTAAAAAGTCCATACCTTGGAACTAAAAAAATGGAGGTGAGCATGGCAACAGTGATGGGTGTTGGATTGGTCCTGCTGCTGCTGATTCTAACACTGGCCTTGCTTCATGCATGTGCTTTCCCAAAGGAAATGGATGGCATCCCAGGTAGCTTTGGTTGGCCATTTTTAGGAGAGAGTTTGTCTTTTATATCTGAATTTTCAAGTCCTGCTGGTATTTTCAGTTTCATGAATAAAAGGCAACAAAGGTAATCAATCTCATATCAATTGCAATTAAATTTGTTGCTTGCTTATAGCAATTAATTAACGTAGATACGGAAAAGTGTTTAAGAGCTATGTTCTTGGACGGTATATGGTGTTTACGACCGGTATGGAAGCAAGTAAGATGTTATTAACAGGAAAAGATGGGATGGTTAGCTTGAACCTGTTCTACACCGGTCAGAA